ATACAACTACGGGTTGTTATAAACCTAGTCATAGGATTCACCTTTACGTGGTGACTAGGATAAGTAAGCTAATTTTTTAGCTGAAACCAAGAATCCTATTAAATTTTTAGTATTTTTATTTTTTTTTTTATTTTTTTTTTATCTGTTATTATTTTTTCTTTTTATTAACTAGCTCTTTTTTTTTTATCGTCGTTAGTGTTGTAGATAATCACGTCGTCGTTGTTGGTGTCGTGTCCTCATATTAATTTACGTCGTTGTGGTCTTCACATTAATTTACGTCGTTGTGCTGGTGTGTCGTATACTCATTTTTGTTATTTCACTCTTGTTTGTAGTTGTCGTTTTTTTTGGCAACGTCAACATTATACGTTCCTTTAGAATCTTCTTTATTTGTCGATTTTTCATCTCGAGTAGGTGTCTCACGTTGATCCTTTTTAATTTCCATTTTATCTTTTTGACGTTACTTCCATTTTTGTAGCGAATGATCATCTCACGTTCCTTCCTTTCAATTCCGAGTCTATGTTGATAACAATATCTGAGATTATTTATCCTTTTCGGCGTTATCGATGGCGTTTTTGTAACATTCGGGTGCTTTGAGTCTATCTTTTTTCATCTTCAATTTCTTTTTTATAGTAATTTTCAACGTTATCTGTTCCTTTAACTTTACTCAGTTTTTCTACAGGTCTTTGATAACATTTAAATGTTTTATCTTTATCCTTTTCAACGTCGGGTATCAAGGATCTCAGTTACCGTTAGTCTTCTTAAGGTGACATCTGGAACTTTAATTTTCGATGAGCTAACTCTCACACCTTTTACTTCTTTGACTCCCATCTTTTTACGTCTGGTGGGGCAAGGAGCTCCATTGATACTTCAATATAGGAGGGTAATTATACAATTTCTTCTTCATTTTCATCATTCGTTTTTACTACTTCTAATGCGTCCAACATAAAATCCAGTGCCTGGGGATCTCGTTTTCGCATAATCGAGTACATCTTTCTTCAACACTTTTGCTTTCGGGCACCTTGTCCTTTCATTTGACAATAAGAGCATCGACATTTCTTCCATAAGGTTCCTTGGCTTGGTTCATCTCTTTGGGAGTTACACGGGGCTTGTAGATGTCGGACCATTTTCATTCGTGTTTCGACTCGTCCTTGTTTCCCTTGTTTCCGGTTGAGTATCTCTTTGTAAGTTCTATACATTATTATTATTATTATGATTATTATTATTACCGGTATTATGACTATTATTATTATTATTATTATTATTATTATTATTGTTATTATTATTATTATTATTATTACTATCATTTTGGTCAGTT